CCGCCTGCACCGCCGCGTGCTCGTCGCTGATCTGCTGGATTCGCTGCTCGACCACCTCACACCAGTGCTGCGCAGGGACGCGGGTGGGGGATGGGATCGGATGGGGTGGGATGGGATGGGATGGGATCAACGCAGGTGGGGGCAAAGGGCGGCGGCGCAGCTGGGCGAAGGACATCCAGGCGAACGGGCACGCGCCGGCCGCCGTCGGCCGTTCACAGGCCCGTGCGCGCGGCTCGTCCAGCCTCTCAGCCGATGCCCCCGCCTGTCCCCCCTCCCCCGCCCGCCGGCCAACCCCTGTGCCCCCTGCGGCGCACCTCCAGGGCCAGCACCCCGAGCGGCTCCTCCACCTGGACCCCAATCTCCTCGATGCCCTGAGCATTTCAAGTTTGAAGTGCATGTGTGGAGGTGATTACGTTTTGGTGATGGCGTGCGTTGGTACAGCGGTGCGGAGCGGGGCACCAAGGCACCGGCGCAAGGGCGTCGGACGCAGGGGCACGGGGCGGGGGACGCAAGCGCGTTGCTGGGGCGGCTGCGCGTGCTATGTGATCCGGCGGGACCAGTCTCAGGAGCGCACCAGGAGGAAGAAGCCCTGCGCTCGGAAAGACATCAGGGGCAGGGGGCGAGTGGCGGGGGCGGGGAGACGGGACTCATCATCGCCATGCCAGGGGAGGCAAGCATGAAACGCAGGTGGAAGCAACAGAAGCAGGGCCTGCCAGCTCAATGGGCTCCATCAACCAAGAAAATTTGATTGCCCCCACTGATCTGAGATTCGTTTTGGTTTGCCTCCGGCCCCTGGAACACGGGGCTGCCATCCTGGCCGGAAACCCGCACACCCCAAGCTCCCGCCGGCCCGCGCCCGCCTCGCCCCCCACCCCGCGTCACCCCGCGCGCGTCCACCCACCAGGATTACGTCCACCGGCACCGTGGCCCAGCCCAGCTCCTTCCAGGCGCAGAAGGGCAGGAAGGTCAGCCATGTAACCAGGAAACGCGACGTGTGCCTGCGCGGGGCGGATGGACAAGGATACCACCGTAGATGTCAGCACGCCAAAGGCCAACAGCACCGTCAGCCGCACCCCCAGCTGCGCGCAGGTGGCGCCGCACCGGAGGCCGCACGTGCGCCCGAGGGCGCGCGGGCGCCTTTGCCGCGCGTGTGACGAGCCGCGCGCGTGCAGGCGCGGACCTTGAGTAGCTGAGGGGCAGGGGTGTCCTGAGGATCTTCTCGCTGCACTGGAAAGCGTCCTGCAGCCGCCGCACACTCTCGTCCTGGGGCGTCGGGTCGGAGAGGGGTGGGGGGCGGGGGGCCACGGGCAGGGCGTGGGCTCAGAGTCCCAGGGCCGGGGCGTGGGGCATCAACCTCCAACCACCCTTCATTCCACGGTCCCACTTCCAGCACCCACCACCCCCTCCACGTACATGTGCGACGACACACACGCGCCCGCCCGCCCCCCGTGGCCGCACCATGTGCGTTTTCGAGTCGATCGTCATGCCGCTGCTGCTGATGAGGCTGCCGATCATGGACAGCGCCGTCTGCGGGGGCACGGGCGACGCCAGCAGCAGCGCCTGCTCCTCCGGCAGCAGCACGCTGGGGGGCGAGGGAGGGGGGGGGGCGAGGAACCACGGGCGCGTGAAGCTCAGCTGCAAAGCGACACTGGCAGGCTGGCCCGAGCGGCACCCGTCCGCCGCGGCCGCAGCCGCGCCACGCCCCCTGCTGCGGTCCGCTGCTCGGCGGACGGCGCACTCTTTCCTTGCCGCGCGCCCCTTCCCCGAGCCGACCGCAGCGCATACCGCCCGCCAATGCAGCCCGCCAACGCAGCTGCCGCCGCCTCCCCTGCCCCGTGTCCCACGGCCCCCACCCCGCTCACTCGTCGACGAGCAGCTGCAGGCGCTCGGGCACCTCCTCCCGCACGTATGTCTTGAGCGCCAGCGGGAACGCGGTCAGCCACCGCAGCAGCGCCTCGCGGGTGCGCTCGTCCTCGGGGGCGGAGCTGGGCAGCCACTGGCAGGCCTGGCGCGCGAGGTGGCTGGTGGAGGCCACCACGTTGTTCCAGGCGGTGCACGCCTCCCACCTGCCGATTCGGGGTTTAGGGTCGAGGGGTCTGAGGGTCCGGGGTTTGGCGCTGGGGTGTTGGGTGCGTGACGTCGTGTGTCGGCGGCCGCAGCCGCTGCCGTGTCGAGCGCGCTGCGGCAGCTCTGCGGGCCACGCTTGCAGGGTGCTGCCGCCGCCGTCGCCGTGGCTGCTGCTGCTGCTGCTGCTCCTGCTACTGTTGCCGCCGCGGCTGCGGCTGCTGCTGCTATTGCGGCTGCTGCTGCTGTGCAGCTGCTGCTGATGCTGTGCAGCTGCTGCTGTTGCTGCTGCTGCTACCGCCGCCGCCACGGCTGCGGCTGCTGCTGCGGCTGCTGCTGGTGTGCTGTTGCTGCTGCTGCAGCTGCCGCTTCCGCTGCTGCTCTGGCTCCTGCTGCTGCTTGCTAGACGCCGCGCGCCAGCGCCCCCCCTTTTCGCGTGCCGCGACCCCCCATCAGGGTGCGCTCACCAGCGGTCGTAGCTGCTGTTGGTGCGGAACACCAGCAGCAGCGACAGCGCAAACGTCGAGATCGCAAACGGCCCGTCTGGCGACACGGCCAGGTCCGGCCAGGGGAACCAGGGGACCCATTGGTCAAGAGTGCCCTCCTGCCAGAGCTCCTCGTAGCAGCAGACGATGTAGGACGACAGCAGGACGCATACAAGTGGCGGCAGCAGCCCGCGGACGATGCGGCTGTAGAGGATGCCTAATGGGGGCAGGACGGAGCGACGGGGCAGCGGCGGAGACGCCATTGGGCAGGGCAGTGCGTAGATGAAAGTCGTCCGGGGTTCAGGGAGCGGGACGGCGACAGGCGTGCGTGTACGTGTGCGACGAGCGGATCATTGAATTTGGGGGTGGGGGCCGCACCGTCCATGTGCCGGAAGTAGCGCGAGATTGACCTGTGAGTCATCCATTCCTTTTTGCCGAAAACCTGTGAGGTGTGGGCGAGGATCGCAGGGGAGGGGTCGGTTGGGGACAGGTTGCAGGGGCCAGGGACTAGGAGAGGGGGGAGCGGCGCAAAGGGCCGCGCTTAAGGCAAGGACAGAGTCAGCCACGCGGACAGATACCATGTATCCCTGTAGCGGGGCCGCCTTGTGCCGCCACTGGCCTCCCTATGCTCACCGTCCGGCGGAAAGAGCGGCTCGTTTCTCTCTCCAGGTCACTCTGGATGAGGGCCTGCGCTGGTGCGCCGCGCGACCGCGCCGGGAGCTGCACGCAGCATCGGCTGGGGCGCAGCAGCGTCTGTTGTCGCAGGAAAGCGGCAGCGAGTGTCCGTTCGTCGCCGTGCAAATGACATGGCCTCGTCCTAGCACGCATGGTCACTTGCGACTGCATATATACGTCTTGTGTGTAGGGTCGCAGGACCACAGCTTCTCAGGCTGACTCGTGGCGCTCTGAGACAATGTGGACGGAACAGGCCAGTGAACGAGCGTCAAGTGATCTATGGAGAGTGATTTGCAAATTATAATGGTGTACTTGCACATGTAGCGCTGACCAGGGGCTCAGATGCTGCGAAGGTGTGTGGTGCACGGCAGCCGTAAACGCTTGCACAGACTCTCTTTGGTAAGCAAAATCACAGAGTTTTGAAACTTGAACGAGATGCGCGCTGAAGTGAATATCTAGGAAGTCCTCGCGCCGTACGCACGCGGGCATGCGCCGTTCCCACCCCCACACCCGCCCCATTTGACACTTTGATAGCGGCTGTACATTACCGCTGTCCCCACCCCTGCTGGAGGGTGGTCGGGCAGGGGGTAACAGCCAGTGTAAACACGTGCCTTTTACACAACAGCTGCCCGATTTGCTATCGTGGCTGCACCGGAGCTGCTGGTGTTGACTGCGCCTGCACCCCGGCCATCTCCGCCCGCCCCCACCCCGCGGCCGGCCCCTCCTCCTCCAGCGGCATCTCATCAATTTCTCTCTGCTGCTCCGCCATCTGTCCTATCCGCTGCTGCACGACGGCGCACCAGTGCTGCGATATGCAATTGGCGCAGGGAAGCGGGCGGTGTCGGGCGCAGGGGGAGGGGGGAGGC